GGCATCGATGAAGCCTGGCTTCCATTTGATCCTATTTTTCGAAGGACAATGAATCTAGCACCCGGGAATAACCATCTTTACAGAGAGAGAGCAAAAGATGAATGTCGACTTTNTTTAAAATAAGCTATCGGAATCCTTTCAGGTTATCGACCCCTGATATACATCATTAATTGTGCCCAACCTATTTTATACCGGGTGCCGACATGATTATGCCAATTTTGTTATATATACAGTATTATGAAAATTGATTATGTTATATTATAATGGACTTCAAAAATATATAATTTTGCAGTTAAGTTGTTAATTGAATTTTGTTCTTACATGTGAAGCCCATGCACAACATGTAGATAACGGATGGAGCGTAAACGGACGCACTGTAATATAAATATACAAGCAAGAGTTTCGTTTTTTATGTACTATAGCCTAAACTAAATTATGGCTTCCATTTAAATGTACTCGTATACTTAATAATAAAAATATAATTTTTACTACATTTTATTCAGTCAAAGTGTCACTGAAAATCATCACGCCTGCCATAGTTTGTCAAACCCTGATCGATATCCAAGGCTTGCCTTAATGTAAAAGTAGACTTACAACATCTTGCAAATGGTTTCTGAACATTTTAAACTAAAAATAACAGATTTTAAGTCAAATACACAAACAGTTTATTGGTTACTTTTATTATCAACAGCAAATGCTTGTTGTTTACTGAAAGACATAGAGTTTTTAAACTGTTGATCAATTACTGAGGAACAGATACGCCCTTTCGGGTGTGTTTTAACAAACAGTGGCTTACACATAAGGATATAGAACTTATATCTTACGCAGCAAATAAAGTTCTTGTTTAATTATAGATTACAAAAAGCCAAAGAAATAATCAAACAATGTCNTGAAGCCTGGCTTCCATTTGATCCTATTTTTCGAAGGACAATGAATCTAGCACCCGGGAATAACCATCTTTACAGAGAGAGAGCAAAAGATGAATGTCGACTTTGGCGATACGTCTATCGTCCATCTTTTAAAGAACATGTAACTGCGTAAAAGTACTTGTTTTTTTTAAATAATAACACATTCAGCATCTTATTAACTATCTATCAAATGTTACGTTCGAAACTATTTTTAAAATGTAAAAATTTCGTAATTTGCTGTAACTAATAAATTAATATTTACTTGAGTCAAAACTAAAAAAATTATTTGCATAGTAAATGACATACCTCCAAATATCACTAACAGAAATGGATTGCAGAGTAATTAAAATTGATACTAGAGAGTTCGAATTAGAACGTGCAAACTTACATTCTTTCCTGTACAAACGTAAATATAGCCACTAAGATTAATTTATCTTTTTTATTGACTTAGAAATGTGAAAAATTATGGACCCTAAACACTACCCCGATTGCGTATTATTACTCTAAAATTAATACAGAGGAATCAATTTCGTAAAATTATATTTTGTGTTTTCTAATGTAGTTAGAAATCGTTATATTTTATTATTCGAAACATTATTAATTCAATGTTTCAGCAAGCATAAAAAAATGCTCATCATTTCTCTGTACTTTCTCTTCGATAGATATCTCGTTAGTGTATTTGATACTTTATTAAATTTATTGAGAAATTCAAAAATGAAATTGGGAGTGAAATTATCCCAAACAAAAATAACGATGTTTATCAAATAAATGCTGCTTATAAATTACTAATAATATTATAGTTCATACTGACATGAACATCTAAACATATTTCTAAGTAAGTGTTATTTTTATAAGTTTGTATAATAACCATTGTATTGTTTTTGTCACGTCGAAAATCAAGGTTCAGTAATACTGATCGGCATCAAGACAAAAAATAGTGTATCTTTTTAAATATGTCTCAAAATGAATTAGTCCGTCTCTTAAAATTTTTTAAAATTACCATATTCTTTTTTGTTTAAAACAACATTTTTTTTAGGTCAAAGTTAGATAAATCCGGTGCTTATTTTAATTTTAAAAGATAACTTTACTATTGAGAAACTATTAATACAATAATAAATTACAAATATGCTTCGAATAACATTATTTTTTTATTTTTTAGCAGTAAGGATTGTTTACATTGTTTTATATCGGTGGCTTGGAAGAACAGTTACATTATTTTCCACCACATTTATTTTTGGCACTATTCCAAACCTTGGCGTTTTTCGGAAGTAGCTCGCAATAACACGACATATCTTTGCAATAGCCACCCGATGCTTTCCTCTTTAGGCATTCGTCGTCGCAATAATTATGTGCTACGCATGAGAGTTTGCAACCTTTACTGTCCACAGGATATCCATGTTTGCATTCCACACCTGTATTAGAAAATTACTTTACTAACAACTTCATACATTGTTATATACAACAGTAGATAGAAGAATGTTTACAACTATAGATACTTTATTGTTTTACAAGGAATTGTCAACATAAAATAGTGCAGCTGAATTGAATGAGGAAAGGTATCGGAAAACAATAGCACTGTGATTTTAATACAAATAAAAGTTGCTAAACTTTAAAACAGTGAGAAACCTGTTCATGATACTACATTATGGGTATTTTATACAAGTAAAAATAGTAGAATATTTCTTACCAATCAGCAATACAGAAGCGATGATCAGTATCAAAACCTTCATTTATTTCGTCAATTCTTTTTGTCAGCAGTAGATTTATTCGAAACTCGCGATTTTCCAATTATTTATAGAGAGATTCGACACAAAATTCTCTATTTTGATTGGTTTAAATTCCGCAAGTGTTTAGTTATTTACAACAAAAGTATGTGTAATAATTTTTAATCGCATTAATAAAATTTATGTATTTTTACATTTGGCCAAGACAATAAAGTAGTTTTTAAAGTTTCTACGTTTATTATTGTGGGGGTTTCGTTGTTTGGTGTCCGAATCTCAACATATTTTGACCCGTAAAAATTAATGTTGTGTTCTTGATCGAAAGTGGTCACGCACACTAATATCGCAAAATATATTTATTTCTACATGTTACGAAAATTAGAATTAATTATCGATCACAAAGAGACAATTTACATAACACTTAATTAAAACAAAATGCAAGACAATTAGGAGGTCTTCTTAGTCACTTCTTTCATTTTATGTTCGTACATGTCAAGCTTTTTTTTCTGTTTTTTACTGGAATTTATTTTCTATCGGTCATTTGAAAAATTTTTGATCTATAAATTTCCACAGTCGTCTCTCTGTACATTTGTTTGGTTGTCTGTCTTCCTCTCGTACCTTAATCTCGGGAATGGAGTTAGATAAATGAAATCCGGGACCAGATGTGGAATGTGTAAGGACCTCTGTCCTCGATGAACTATATATGAACTTTTGGTGCAAACCGCAAGTCATATTAATTCAATTTAAATATTTTTCTTTCAAGAGGGTCAGACAGATGACCGGCACGACTCTTCTTATAGGAAAAGTATGATGTACGGTACAGGGGCATGCCACTACTAATTTGAGTATATCATATATTTTAAAGTAAATTAATTAAAATTACGATTAATAATTTCGGCCCGACATTGTGTTGATGCCAATAAATGATTGCCCGTTTTAAATTCGTTTTAGTTTTTAGTATACTTAATGCGACATATGTCTTTGAATAGAATTTAATAAACCAAATTTTTATTTCTGAAGTATTGTCCTCTATTTTTTTTTAAAAACCCTTCAACCTTAACTGAAATTCTTTCGTCGAGTAGCACGTTATAGATTCCATATTTCAAGTAAACCAGTGTAAGCACAAAGATCTGAGCAAAGTGCAGACCTGTCGATAAAGGGCATTCCCCGTTGAAGATAACATTATATTCTATTTAGAGAGTTTATTTGCGATTCACATTAATGAATTTGAAATCTTTCCTAAACGTATTTTGGAAGATCGAACGATTTCCAAGTTTAATAAGCCGTACAATATTGAAAATCTTACGGTAAATAAAAAGTAGACGTTCTTGTAATGCAAGGAACATAAAGCACACATTCGAATCTAAAAATCTAGACAGATCAGTTACATTTGTACGATTTTGTATTGCTGTCACGTTGCATGAANTTATCGACCCCTGATATACATCATTAATTGTGCCCAACCTATTTTATACCGGGTGCCGACATGATTATGCCAATTTTGTTATATATACAGTATTATGAAAATTGATTATGTTATATTATAATGGACTTCAAAAATATATAATTTTGCAGTTAAGTTGTTAATTGAATTTTGTTCTTACATGTGAAGCCCATGCACAACATGTAGATAACGGATGGAGCGTAAACGGACGCACTGTAATATAAATATACAAGCAAGAGTTTCGTTTTTTATGTACTATAGCCTAAACTAAATTATGGCTTCCATTTAAATGTACTCGTATACTTAATAATAAAAATATAATTTTTACTACATTTTATTCAGTCAAAGTGTCACTGAAAATCATCACGCCTGCCATAGTTTGTCAAACCCTGATCGATATCCAAGGCTTGCCTTAATGTAAAAGTAGACTTACAACATCTTGCAAATGGTTTCTGAACATTTTAAACTAAAAATAACAGATTTTAAGTCAAATACACAAACAGTTTATTGGTTACTTTTATTATCAACAGCAAATGCTTGTTGTTTACTGAAAGACATAGAGTTTTTAAACTGTTGATCAATTACTGAGGAACAGATACGCCCTTTCGGGTGTGTTTTAACAAACAGTGGCTTACACATAAGGATATAGAACTTATATCTTACGCAGCAAATAAAGTTCTTGTTTAATTATAGATTACAAAAAGCCAAAGAAATAATCAAACAATGTCAATGGCATAGCTTTATAGCAGATAGCATTTTCACATTAAAATAAGTGCATATTATATCAATATATATATTTAAAATTACTTTGTATTTATTCAATAATAATATTCAATTATAAAAAGTATTTTAACTGTTATTTTACTTTTAAAATTTTCAGGACATGAAAGCCATTATTTTATTTCTCATTTGTCTGTATTCCTCTAGTGATCCATGGAGAAGAAATCGTCCATACATTAGCTGGAAGTGTTACAGGAAAGAAGATAAAAGTTCTTTATAACGATGTTTATGCATATTTAGGAATTCCTTATGCACAGCCTCCAATCAGTGTTATCCGGTTTCGAGGGCCACAACCCATTTTAAAATGGAGTGGACTATTAAACGTTACAGTAATGACACCTATTTGCATGCAAGATCTTGTTTTTCCTGATTTCGATTGGGTTCAGCGCAATCGTCGCTACATGAGTGAAGACTGCTTATATTTAAATATTTGGGTCCCTGCTAAAAAGCCATTATCACGACCGTCCACTACTATGGTATGGATTCACGGTGGAGCATATAACACAGGAGGATCGAACATTCCTGTCTACTATGGGCATGTTTTAACTTCAATTGGCAACGTTATTGCTGTCTCTCTTAATTATCGTCTAGGTTCATTTGGATTTATGAATTTAAATGACAGCAGAATGCCTGGAAATATGGCAATGTTAGATCAAGTTGTTGCCTCGCAGTGGATCTATAATAATATAGAATGTTTTGGTGGAAACAGAAAAGATATCACTCTATTTGGACACAGTTCTGGGTCTATTTCAGTTTTGAATCATTTGTTATCACCATTGTCGAATAGAATAATCAATAGAGCTATTCTTCAAAGTGGCTCAAATTATAATAGTTATTTTACATTAACTCCCGAAATAAACGAGAAAACGACAAAGCTGATTGCCATGTATGCTGGTTGTAATAGTACATATAGAACTAAAAAATATCTAATAGACTGCTTAGTAAGCCAAAAAACTGACAGAATTGCCGCTGCCGAAAGAAAATTTCAAGCAGATAATGACGCGTTTTTTTCTTATTCACCAGAAGTCGATGGCCATTTCCTTCTCGAAGATCCTGTAAGCAGCATCGACGGTGGTGCAATACATGGCTCTGAAGTAATGATTGGACACCTTGAAACAGAAGGTTCTCCAACGTTATTATATTATAAGCATGAATTTCAAAGAGAAAATTATCCGAAATTGACAAATCGGAGGCAGAATATATTTTGAGCAAGTTCTACCTCTTAAACGGTACTCTACTTCAATCTGTTGTTGATAAAGACTTTGGTAAACTATCGAAGTGGAATTATTCTGGCATTACTGATCGAACTGTTGAAGCACTGTCCGATGGAATACTAGTGTGTACTATCGTGGCGTTGGCAGAAAAATTATGGGAATACTAAAATACCGTCTATTATTATAACTTTAATCACTCCCGTCTCACAGCAGGATATCGAAAATGGGAAGGTGTTCCCACTTCGAAGAGAATTACTTCGTGTTTGGTATGCCGTTTATGTTGCCTGAAGAGTTTACAGAAGAAGAGAAATATTTTAGTTACCAAATTATTCAGCAGTAGACTTCTGCTAAAACGGGGTAAGTTACGTTTTCTCTTAGTTGCAATAAGTGAAAATAAAACATAAACGTCAGCATGTGATAAATTCTTGTCTTAAAAAATATTTGTTGAGAGAGAATTAGTGTTTTTTCAAGTTATAATCATTAACGAAAAAGCTTAATTATATTACGAGAAAAATCTATATATTTTACATTTAGATATTTTTTTATCTGTAGCGTATGTAATCAATTATAAAAAACAATCCAAGAGAATAGTATATTACCGCTAATTATGGAACTTATTTTGAGAAAATGTTTTGAAAAAAATGTTCTTTAAACTTGGGTCCTACTGTCAATTAATGTCAATATGTATTTTAGCAGTAATATCGTAGTAATTATTTATAGTTGAAACTCGATTATCCGAAACTCCAGATTAAAAAATGCAAAACAAAATAGTATTGTACAGTACATACCACAGAGAATAGAGTACAGAAAGACCAAACTCTCCTTGTGATGGTAATCACTACTTCATCTGTCGCTATGAAACTATCTCATATAAATATAATTAGGTGAAATTTTGAATAAATTAAGATACGTTCGAATACAGTAAATGTATTATTCTATATATTGTTTACGGAAATTTAAATGCACAACAATGCACCAAAACACGTAAATAAACCAGTTTCTGGATTGTCCGAATCATTGCTTGTCCGAAATCTTGATAATATCAAGTTCTCATAACGAGTTGCCACTGTAATTGAGGCACTGCTCGTGCTGCTTCCTTTTTACACTAGTCCCTCCTGTATTCAGCGTTTTGCTTCATGTTGTGAAGATCATCCAAGGCACCGGGCAAAACGCACATGCGCAACACGTATTTTCGGCACTCCAATATGTCACATGCAAGTTGTCTAGTATACTTGCTATTGGGTTTGTTAGGTAATGACATAAATTCTTGATATCAAAAAGATTGGACAAGAAAAATAAAGGTAATTAAAGCAATAATGGAACAACTGATTATATTACGCATAAAATGCAAGTCACTGTTTCCACCGTTTCTGTTTATGCAGTAAGTAAATCTATGTAAACAATAGCACTTCTTCTGCATAAACAACTATTCATTATACAGTATGTAATATGATATTATTACTTACTTATAGCAGATCTTAAAATGCTGATCCGATTAAATTTAGACTAGATTTATTACTATAATATTTTATCAATTTATTAATTACCCAAAACTAGTTACTGNAGTCACTAAGATTAATTTATCTTTTTTATTGACTTAGAAATGTGAAAAATTATGGACCCTAAACACTACCCCGATTGCGTATTATTACTCTAAAATTAATACAGAGGAATCAATTTCGTAAAATTATATTTTGTGTTTTCTAATGTAGTTAGAAATCGTTATATTTTATTATTCGAAACATTATTAATTCAATGTTTCAGCAAGCATAAAAAAATGCTCATCATTTCTCTGTACTTTCTCTTCGATAGATATCTCGTTAGTGTATTTGACACTTTATTAAATTTATTGAGAAATTCAAAAATGAAATTGGGAGTGAAATTATCCCAAACAAAAATAACGATGTTTATCAAATAAATGCTGCTTATAAATTACTAATAATATTATAGTTCATACTGACATGAACATCTAAACATATTTCTAAGTAAGTGTTATTTTTATAAGTTTGTATAATAACCATTGTATTGTTTTTGTCACGTCGAAAATCAAGGTTCAGTAATACTGATCGGCATCAAGACAAAAAATAGTGTATCTTTTTAAATATGTCTCAAAATGAATTAGTCCGTCTCTTAAAATTTTTTAAAATTACCATATTCTTTTTTGTTTAAAACAACATTTTTTTTAAGTCAAAGTTAGATAAATCCGGTGCTTATTTTAATTTTAAAAGATAACTTTACTATTGAGAAACTATTAATACAATAATAAATTACAAATATGCTTCGAATAACATTATTTTTTTATTTTTTAGCAGTAAGGATTGTTTACATTGTTTTATATCGGTGGCTTGGAAGAACAGTTACATTATTTTCCACCACATTTATTTTTGGCACTATTCCAAACCTTGGCGTTTTTCGGAAGTAGCTCGCAATAACACGACATATCTTTGCAATAGCCACCCGATGCTTTCCTCTTTAGGCATTCGTCGTCGCAATAATTATGTGCTACGCAGGAGAGTTTGCAACCTTTACTGTCCACAGGATATCCATGTTTGCATTCCACACCTGTATTAGAAAATTACTTTACTAACAACTTCATACATTGTTATATACAACAGTAGATAGAAGAATGTTTACAACTATAGATACTTTATTGTTTTACAAGTAATTGTCAACATAAAATAGTGCAGCTGAATTGAATGAGGAAAGGTATCGGAAAACAACAGCACTGTGATTTTAATACAAATAAAAGTTGCTAAACTTTAAAACAGTGAGAAACCTGTTCATGATACTACATTATGGGTATTTTATACAAGTAAAAATAGTAGAATATTTCTTACCAATCAGCAATACAGAAGCGATGATCAGTATCAAAACCTTCATTTATTTCGTCAATTCTTTTTGTCAGCAGTAGATTTATTCGAAACTCGCGATTTTCCAATTATTTATAGAGAGATTCGACACAAAATTCTCTATTTTGATTGGTTTAAATTCCGCAAGTGTTTAGTTATTTACAACAAAAGTATGTGTAATAATTTTTAATCGCATTAATAAAATTTATGTATTTTTACATTTGGCCAAGACAATAAAGTAGTTTTTAAAGTTTCTACGTTTATTATTGTGGGGGTTTCGTTGTTTGGTGTCCGAATCTCAACATATTTTGACCCGTAAAAATTAATGTTGTGTTCTTGATCGAAAGTGGTCACGCACACTAATATCGCAAAATATATTTATTTCTACATGTTACGAAAATTAGAATTAATTATCGATCACAAAGAGACAGTTTACATAATACTTAATTAAAACAAAATGCAAGACAATTAGGAGGTCTTCTTAGTCACTTCTTTCATTTTATGTTCGTACTTGTCAAGCTTTTTTTTCTGTTTTTTACTGGAATTTATTTTCTATCGGTCATTTGAAAAATTTTTGATCTATAAATTTCCACAGTCGTCTCTCTGTACATTTGTTTGGTTGTCTGTCTTCCTCTCGTACCTTAATCTCGGGAATGGAGTTAGATAAATGAAATCCGGGACCAGATGTGGAATGTGTAAGGACCTCTGTCCTCGATGAACTATATATGAACTTTTGGTGCAAACCGCAAGTCATATTAATTCAATTTAAATATTTTTCTTTCAAGAGGGTCAGACAGATGACCGGCACGACTCTTCTTATAGGAAAAGTATGATGTACGGTACAGGGGCATGCCACTACTAATTTGAGTATATCATATATTTTAAAGTAAATTAATTAAAATTACGATTAATAATTTCGGGCCGACATTGTGTTGATGCCAATAAATGATTGCCCGTTTTAAATTCGTTTTAGTTTTTAGTATACTTAATGCGACATATGTCTTTGAATAGAATTTAATAAACCAAATTTTTATTTCTGAAGTATTGTCCTCTATTTTTTTTTAAAAACCCTTCAACCTTAACTGAAATTCTTTCGTCGAGTAGCACGTTATAGATTCCATATTTCAAGTAAACCAGTGTAAGCACAAAGATCTGAGCAAAGTGCAGACCTGTCGATAAAAGACATTCCCCGTTGAAGATAACATTATATTCTATTTAGAGAGTTTATTTGCGATTCACATTAATGAATTTGAAATCTTTCCTAAACGTATTTTGGGAGATCGAACGATTTCCAAGTTTAATAAGCCGTATAATATTTAAAATCTTACTGTAAATAAAAAGTAGACGTTCTTGTAATGCAAGGAACATAAAGCACACATTCGAATCTAAAAATCTAGACAGATCAGTTACATTTGTACGATTTTGTATTGCTGTCACGTTGCATGAGGAGCTACAAAAGTTCATTGCGACTTGTTTCTCCTACATTGCGCAAATTTATCATTTGTGATTCGAGAATTAGACAGTTTATGTTAAAGAATTTTATACATTCCCTGACACTTACGGTGATTTCTGATTAGAGACACAACTGTTTCCATGCAAACTAAGAAGCCTACTAAATACTTAATGAATATGGTATTATAAAATTAAATTACCCTGTTGACGTGTTTTTCTGTATTGTTAAGGTATACAGATGAAGCAATACCGATAGGTACAATTCAGCTGCAATTTGAATATACTGTAGACATAAATTTCTACTGTCGTCCGTCCGGCTGACTGGCTGTCTTTAATGTTGAGAACGGTGTTAGAAAATTAAAAGGTTAGACAGTATTTGGAAAAAAGAGAAGTTGTAGGTCTGATTAACTTTACAAAAACGTCTGTTTTAGATCGATAGTAACGTGATTTTAATTCAAATTTACTTCCCTGAATGTAGATGATCAGTATGACTCTGTTATTATCAGGAAATGTATGATGTAGAGGGGCGAACCGCTACTAATTTGAGGTGGAGACCATATATTTTAAATTAAATAAAAATTTAAGAATATGATTAAGAATTGCAGCCCGGAATTGCGACGATGTCATCATAAATACTGTAATTGTTCGTTTTTAATAAACATTTAAAACTATTCTTATATGAAATTGAAAGTA